GGCAGGGCAGGGTATGAAAATGTTACCCTGTGATCACCTCTGGTTTGTTCTATCACACGAACATGAGAAATTTTCGTATTTTAAATCAGATATTTTTGCCTTCTTTCACTAAAAATCAGTATCGTTCTAACAAACAATATGAAGAAACACATTTACTATCGACTCTTACGCAACTTTTACATCAAACATGTTTTTTTATTCTTTTTTGATAGGCAGAACAAACAGCAACGCTCGTCTGAACGAAAATTCGGCACACAAATCTTGATTTAAAGAAGTTAGTTGGGCATTGAAATGGTACGATATACTTATAGGAAGCTGAGCTCAACCACTGAACACGTAAGTAGATATATGAACTATATAATGTCACAAAATTTTTGGTCTGATTTAGCCGTCTGAAGAGCCTTTCATTGATTTGGACGTAGTATCTCTCCTACCTAAGGTTAATGGGTAAGTAATACGAATGCAACTCATTTATCAAATAAATACATACGTTAATATTAGATGCAAGTCAACACGTTGGGCCATCCTCGTATCTGCAATTATCATTATTGTACTGTTGGTAGTAGTAGCGGTAGTGGTGGGTGTGGTTATTACCTACCGAAAGAACATTATAAAAAGCAAGACAACATCAGGTAATGTTCAGATTGATTTCTACTCTTTCGACATATTGTTTCGTACCATAATGAATCATTCTACTTCCAAAGTACAAATATTCGTAATATATTGCTGCGAAATCGATGAATTGTTGTGACAGTGAAGAAGTCAGTCTTTAGTTAACAGTAATATTTACGTGTTATAGATTTGTGTCCTTGATATATATAGACTAGTTTTGTATTAATCTTATGATCTAATCATAATCTATTGAGTTTAGCAAATGTCATTCGAAAGAGAGACGGAATCGTATCCTAAAAACACAAAAATCTAATCCATTTCTGTACGAATAGGTTTAGTTGTAGCTACGGACATACAGATGCAGGACAATATTTCTTTCACATCTTAAATTATTGTCTATTTTTGTTTTATTAAATGTATTTTCGAACATTTATTTCTATCAATCGAATGTAAAAAAAAGTGATTTATCTTCATAAAAACCTGATCTAATTATTTTTAGAACAACGAAGTTATTCTACAAATAATATCACAGAAGCCACATCTATGACGACAAGTACAACCTCAACGGAAGCCACAAACTATTCTGAAACCACCACAATCAATACTGACCAATTTTCATACCTTAATACCAGTTTTAGTCTTGTTCCATTCGAAAATAATACGAAATGGAGACAAAATGGAATTACTATTGTTGACAGAAATATAGAAAACGATTCGTACAATGGACTTTCTGATCCATATAGTATCTATATTAATAATGATACGCAAACATTTTATATCACTGATTATCATAACCATCGTATTGTTGAGTGGAAATCTAATACAACGAGAAGTCAAGTTGTTGCGGGTGGTAATTCGAAAGGAAATCATAGTAATCAACTGAATAATCCAACGGATGTAATTGTTGATAAAAAGAATGATTCGCTTATCATTTGTGATTCTGGAAACCGACGAATAGTACGTTGGCGTCTTGGAAATACTGCAAGTGGAGAAACAATTATTTCAGACATTAGTTGCTATGATTTAGCAATAGATAACGATGGAGATCTTTATGTACTAAACTACGAAGAAAACGAAGTGCGACGATGGAGAGTAGGAGAGAAAACAGGGACAATAATAGCAGGAGGAAATGGATACGGAGATGATCTCAATCAACTCAATTTTCCTAATTCTATGTTTATCAAAGATCATTCACTTTATGTATCCGACAGCTTCAATCATCGTGTGATGAAATGGATAATAGGTGAAAAAGAAGGCATTATTGTTGCTGGCGGACATGGTGTTGGACGTAATCTCACACAATTGAGTTACCCTTTAGGAGTGATTGTCGATCATTTGGATGACGTTTATGTGGTGGATTCAGCGAACAATCGAATAATGCGTTATCCGAAAGGATCTCAATTAGGTATTATTATTGCTGGAGGAAATGGTATAGGACAACAACCTAATCAGTTCAAGAATCCTAGCGATTTAGCACTTGATGGGTATAGCAATCTTTATGTCGTTGATAATCAGAATAAACGAATACAAAAATTTGAAGCTGATTTGAATTGAAACATTTACTTTTTTTATAAACGACTTTTAATCAATAGAAATGTTTTTATGTGTAAGAATAAATAAAACTAGAACAGAAAAAAAATTGTTTTTAATCGAAAAATAAAAGGATTATTAAGCATCAGTGTGGGCATAGATTGGTACGATTATTTCATTTATCCGATACTTACATCTAACGAAGAGAACTCCACAAGTAATTTGCAATATTCATGCTCTTCAAATCACATCACATGAAATTTATTTAATATAATTAGAGAAATTTATAGGGTGTGATTAAACAACGGTAATCATGCATCTACCAACACCCACACTCTCACGATGTCATAAAAGCATTGTGTACAACTGAAATAGTGTTGCAATGAAAATCCTTTCAAAAATCCTCCTTAGACCCTAATTAAGATTATCATGAACGTCGTACGTTCTGTTAAATTTTATTTCAACAATTATTCGAATATGATAAAATAGAGAAACTTTCACAAATATAATAAACTATACCAATAAATAATATTCTGTAGGATATATGAAGATTATAGTCCCAGACTAGTAGCTTCACGTTTGAGCATTAATTTGAAAACGAAAATGTCATCTTATGCGTCTCCATCTTTAATTGCTTGTTGTTTTTCATGTTCCTGTGCTGCATTTTTCAGCGTCTTTATGGCCGAGAATAAATC